CTCAAAAATATGTCCGATTTTACTTCGTGTGATTACATATGAATTATTTATGTACATTTTCCAATGAGCAGAATCGCGATCGCCGAATTCATCTTGGCGTATCGTGTAGTAGGGCGCCTGATTGTACACCGTAACCTCGCAATCTATGAAGTTTCGCTTATTGTTTGTCGCCATGTGGCCGTAAACGGTACCTTTTGAATCTTCAGATTGAGTTTCGGAATGTTGGTGCGAATGATTTTGTCCACTTGGCTCAGCGGCAGAATTTCAACGAGCTGTGTACTTGCTTCGCCGGATGTGTTGATCTTTGGTGATTCCCGCATCATTGGCACCGGCTTGATGATTGGTATTTTGTCTTCGTTCGGTTTACGCGGCTGTCCTTCGTGACACTCGTCCGTGTATAAATCAGTGACACGAATCAATTCCTGTGTTACGACCCATGTGACTGACTGTAGCGTATCACCAAGATGAGCAATGCTCGACAGTACAAGATTGTTTGTGGTTGCCGACTGTGAAATGTATGTCGGAATAATTAATAGGCGTTTCAAGCGCCTGCATTGAGCGATGCGTGTGTCGAAGCCGGGTTTTATGTCAAAGTTAACTAGTTCCAATTGAACCAGTTTGGGAAGCTTTTCAATCGCTTCAAGAATATCAAATGTGGCACATCCTTTGCCATCCTCCAGACGTAAACGCTCCAAATTCCGTAGTTTTATTAGAATATTCTTTGCAAAACCACCGGCCAAATTATTACATTTGCCTAGCTCAAGGGACTCAAGTGCGGTCAACGATGCCAATGGCTCCAATTGATTAGCGTCCAGTGACTCGAATGATGTTAGCGAAAGGTGACGCAAACTGTCTAACTGAAGCAATGCTCGCAAATTCTCAATACTCATCGATGAACCTGATGATTTTGTACCTGACGATAAGCGTAGCTCTCTCAAAGCAGGCATATTACACGATGTCGGAAAAGAAAATGAATTTCCGGTTATGGATAGAGCGTTCAAGGCTTGTAGATTTGTATTTGTCTCAAGCAAAGCGGTTACAACTTCAGATGGGCATCGACACAAGTGCAATGTTTCAAGATCCGGCACTCGGCTTATGTGCGTTATGAAATCATTCCAGTCCAAAGATGATGAAATCAAAATTTTCCGCAAGTCCAAGTGACGCGTTCCATGTCGTCGGAGTGCTGCCATCAAACCAGTCCAATCGTTTGCTTGTGAGTTCTTCATTCGTACCGTTTGCCATAAGATACTGTTGTTTGCAACATGATTCCACATACGGCACACACTTGATGCGCGAAGAAGTTCCTATGGTCGAAACAAAATATATTTGATAAACGGTTGAAAATCGTGTGATTCACTTAGAATGAGCTGATGAATGATATGGATAATAATCATCGTGAATAATTGACGCGATTAAAGCCTTTGACATACCTGAACTTTCAAGTATTGGAAAATATTGAACAGTATATCATAGCCCCTTGATACGTTGTTGAAAAATTCGGAAGCAAAAACCGAATGAACTGATGCTGGTGCTGAAGCATAAACGTTGTTTGCCGCCGGAAGTGACGGCGATGTTCGGTTAGCAGTTGAACTGCTACGTGACGAAGTTGACTTTGAACCAGCAACTGGAGTGTGCGGCCTCGATCTGAAACACAAACAAAGAGTTCTCCATTTATACATCGACCAAAACTGTGTAGAAGAACAAATTTGTGTAACGAAAGAGTCTTAAACCAGAAGGGGAAAATTAGAGAAAGGGTGTGATGCCAAGCAATTTTAACGAAGAATACACGCGTACTAAACGTACAAATGTTCAAACAACAAATCGGTAAACACAAGTGCATCTACAGCCAATGAGGCATGCCACTGTGCAACTAACTATAACTACAGAAAAAAAACATTGCACAAGTGCATGGTCATACAAAAACCTGAAATGGGGATAAGAAAAGAAAACAAAAATTGTATATATAACACGGAAGCAAATAAAAAAAAATTGTCAAAAAAATTGAATTGAGGTTAAGCTACAGGTGCAAAATCTACGAATTTGAAAAAGTGAAGTGAAAAAAATGCAAATGCAATTCACTTACGAACTCTTAGTGGTTTGATTTCCGTTGACTGAATCGGGTGTAGTGGCGATCTTAGCTGTTTTCGGAACCATAATATACTTTCGGCCAGCAACGATGGCAATCGATTGTGGTGCCGATAAATCGTGTTCGGTTGGTGCAGCTGTGTCATCTTTTGCTGATTTTGCATTTGTCGGTGTGGATGTTGCTGATTTAGTCAATGAATTTGGCAATGGAGCTTTCTTCATCGGTCGGATCGGTGTCGTTAATTGTTCCGTTGAATTTGCATTTACCATCTTATTCTCGATTTGTTGATCCTTATTAGCTGCTGCTGCTGCCGCCGCTGCTGCTTGTGCACTCTGAGCGGCTTCGCTCTTCTCACGTTTGCAATGCTATACACATCAATAACAAACAATATCAAAAGAGTATTAGATTAAAATGGTTCGACTCACACGCAATAAATGAGCAGCGAATAAGAATCAAGTGGTTTTTTTATACTTCACAAACAAAGGTGGTGATATGACGTGATCCATCCTTGCCAACGCATTCATGATGATACATAAACTGACACTTCTTGCACTGCAGCTGCGGTATGATTCCCATGGCCAAGACGCAATTTATTGTGCACGGTTCCCTACTGTGTGTGATTTACGCAGAAAAACCAACCATGTATTTTACGATAGAAGTGATAGAGATAGAGAGAGATACAGATAGAAAGAGAGAGAGAGAGAGAGACAGATTGTAATGATCGAGCAGAAGCGACAAAATGAACGGACATGGTTTTTCCCAGTTTTTTTTTCTATAGAGATAGGCATCACTTGATGTGTTTAAGGGGACTAAATAGAACAATTCTAGCTTTTGAGGCTCAGAAAATCGAACACAGATTTAACAGCTCCTACTTAAGACTTAGAATTCAACTGCTAAACAGCACGGTACTTACTTTGATTTTGAATTTATTTTAGCTGCTTTCGGTTGAATCACTTCGATTATTTCACGCTCGGGCTGTCGTTTATTGCTTGTGGCTGGGGTCTGAAATTGCAATGAAAAAACCACAAAATTAATCGTTAAATAAAATTGAAACCAACTGATTTGTGTAAAATGAGAGAAATAACAATATTTTTGATTTTTTTCGTACAAAATTCGCATTTTCACGACAGATGTTTCGGTTAGCCATGTTTTATTTTTACCATCAATCATGAATGTGTCAAAATATTCAGTGGCTGCTTGTTTGGAACCGGTCTAAACCGCTAACACTTAGTGTAATCAAATAATCTCAAGTCTGATACAAATTTCGAATGGAATTAATTATTAAAGTCTATTGAATTAGTGATACGAGAATAGTTTGCGAAGATGTTTTCAACAACGATATGTTGGTAGGTAATGTGTTGAATTATTCATTGTTAATGTAATTAAAATGATACCGTATCATTGATACGTTCCAAGAGATTTCAATTTGTGTCTTACCCGTGATTTATTGCCTATTGAAGATGGTGGTGGTGGGCTAGCACCTTTTGGCATTTTCGGCTTTGGAATACGCTTGCCAAGTACTTCTGGTGTTGGTATTGCTTCGGGTAGTGAGGCTTGCGGTCGTTTCTGTGACGGTGTTTGAACCTTGGCACTGCGTACAATTTCTTGTTCGACTGGCATTCCAATGCTTTCTTTAGCAAACGAAAAATCGCCAATATCTAAACTTTGATCCTTGAGTGCACGCAATTCGGTCGATATTTCATTTTTGGTTCGCAATTTTCTGCCACTCGGCGAATGATAATACACTTCACCTCTGTTGTCACTTTTTGTTGTGCTCGATAAATTGGCACGGAACACGACTTCACGTCGCCATCCAAATTTGAAGGGATTGCGATATCGTGGATCGGTTTTGATGATGTGAGCCGGTGAGTCGGTGGCCGTTGTCACTGTCGGTGGCTTTGGTGGTGTGGTTGACTGTGGTGGCGGCGGCACCGGCACTGGCACCGGCGTTGGTTCAACGGTTGGTTTTATGTCATTCATTTTCACTTTCGGTGTTTTTTGTTCAACTTTGTCCTGCAGGCGAAAAAAAATCAATCAAATGTAGTCAACTCAGTGTCAAACGGGTCAGATCCCAGAGAAGAACAAAACTTACTTCGATTAAATTGGTTGCTGTTGAGTTTGGAGAATCGGTTTTTATTCGCTTTAGCAATACTGACGGTGCTGCAAGAAATGAAAAGAAAACAAACAATCAAACACAACGTTACCATTACCATATCCATTCACTTCACTGAACTGGTGCAATTATGCACCGTACACAAGCAACGCAGAAAAGAGAAAAAAAAACAACAACAGTGTGAAAAACAAATAACAAATTTACCCCAACTTGTGCATTTACTAATATCTTCAACGGTGAAACCCATAAATTTTTCATCGTCATCACTAAATTCGCTGGCATCGCCGAAATTCACATCGTCGTTAATGTCGTTTTTGTTGTGCTGTTGTTTATTATTTATCTTTGCGGTTGATTTACGTTTTGCCGACTTTTTTAGCGAAGCTGTGCCACCATTTTCTTTTATTGTTGTTGTTGCGAGTGTAGACGCCGCCGTATCGTTGTCCGTTGTTTCATTTTCACTTTGTATAACTAAACGTGACTCGGATTCGGATTCCGATTCACTTTTTACACCAGCTCCACTACCACCGCCATCCGATTCCGGTTCGATAGCAGCATTTGTCTCGACGTTTCGGCCAGACGTGTGCAATTGATTTTTAACACAAATGCTATTCGCACCATTCGACGATGGAGCACAGTCTACAGGCGATTGTTTGTGTTCTGTGATTGTGGTTGTTAATTCATTGTCGCTGATTGACGTTTCAGATGATGGCACCACTTCATTTTGTTGTTCGTCGTCACCATACTCTATGCTTGAATCAGGGTCATTGAAATCCATTTTTTTTCCTCTTGAATTTTAGCCTTTTTTCAGTTGATTTATGCAAAATGTATGGATTTATGCGGAAAAACACGCACAATTTTCTCTTTTTCTACACTTGAATCTAGCCTGTATATCAGACCACTCGATATGATTCACTTGACTTGCAGGAACAAAATTGTATATCAAATCACATTGGAAGAGTGTTCAGAAGAACTCATACAAATTTAATTGCGGTAAAACAAAATGTATATCAGTGTATTCAGCCAATCCACATAATATAGTTTCCACGATGGAACACAGATAACAATTCCGTTTTTAACAATTTGTTTGCACAAATACTTTCGAGGTTATCCCGGTTTTCTCAATCTATTCTCACACACAATTCACTGTACGAATATGTTCCGAATCTCTCGTTTGTTCGTTTCTTCTGTTTTTTTTGTTCTCTCTCTCGTCAATTGAATGCCATCATTGATTTCGCCCGTTCAGGTTTGGTTACGCGATCACACAAAGGTCTTGGTGGCTCACAAAATGTCTCATTTATTTTTCTGCCTTTATTTTTATATGTATATCGGATCTTCTGGTGTGAGTGTTTTGATTGTAGGAATAATATTGGCTGCCGCGCGGAAGGAATATACGTTCGTGTGATAAAATGCGAGTATCTCAGTATAAAAACATCAAGCGACTCTTTTCAACAAGAGAGCGAAACGCGCTTCGGTTTTTCGGCACTCACATTTATATATACATACACAAATAAACACTAACACCAGCAAAATGCATTACATTTTTTTCTAACTCACAACTTCGGCACAGCATTTTGTTGGCGCTAGCATTCACTCAGGGCATTTGCTGCATGTGACAGATCGAATGGAGGACTTTTGTTTATATTTGATGAATGTTTGCTTTGACGCGATCAAAATACATGTCGTTTTGGGTTTAATACTTCTTATTTCTTCACTTAATATCTCATTCCACATAGGAGAAAAAAAATGAAATTTATAATAACAAAAGTTCAAACCTTTTAGTTTTTGAAAAACATTTGACATTTGCCCGACTTGAAATACACCAATGAATCGATAAACAATCTGTCAAATCCCTCCCGTTCTTGTTATTGTTTTGATTTTTGGAAAAGAATCCTTGTTTATTCTTCACTTTTCATCGCCAAAATATTTCTCTTCACGCTGCCTTCAATCCCACTTTCCATTGAATCCATAATCATAAACACACACTGCCCAATCAGCCAATAGCCACTTGACGCTATTTTGTTTTGAAAATTCTTCTGCGAACGATGACGTTGACATTTCAGTCGGTGTTGACAACTCATTTTAAATAGAACAAATTTTTTCTGTCTACGACCAAGATTTTTAATAAACAAAACATCAAACCATTCCCATAGAAAATTCCATAAATAGGAAGAACAAGATGACAACATCGAGTTTATTGGATATCGATGTTGACTCATTGTTCGAGCAATGTAACATCAGTGAAATTGACCTCGTTCACAAAAAGCTCCAGCAGAGCATAGAGGCAAAGAAGGAAGAGTTGCGAATAATGGTTGGGTAAGTTTTGCTCAACTTGTCTGCTTCTGCCGTTCATTTTAGCACATTTTTCGATTATTCGTAGTGAGCGTTATCGTGATCTCTTACAAGCGGCCGATACGATTGGTGAGATGCGTAAAACATCATCAAATGTCATTGAGCATATACAAGGAATCATCGGAAGTTGCCGGAATCTCAATGAGCATCAATTGATTGGTTTCAAAATCGAAACGAATGCCGAACGTGGTTTGTTGCCATCGGATGGAGTGCAAAGAAATTACTATGGCTGCATGACACAGATTCACCTCTTGACCAAATTGCCTGAATTAATATGGAGTCGTCTAGATGAATCGGACTATTTCATTGCAACGCAGATGTTTATCTTCGCAAGACACATCATCACCGGATTGCAGTTGGATGCAAATATCGATATCATGCGGAAGTTCCCAGTGGCCAAACGACAGTGGAATCATTTGAATCAATTCTTTTTCATGATCAAGCAAATGTGCCTCGAGCAATTGGAACGGCCGGAACTTTCAACAGAAACGGCTGTCAAGTGCCTCACTAGTTTGGTTTTACTGGAAAATTGCCAACTTGATAAATTGCTTGCGATGTTCATTCAACTGAGAGCTCGTGCATTCCGTAGAATGTTGACGACAATCAACGATGAGCACAATATTGCGGGAAAACCGCATCAATCGGTTAAAAATCGAATTATCGACAGCTTGCAATTGCTGAACGAAACAATTCTGCAGGTTTTCAAATGCTTTATCGATAATAATGATTCTAGTGAATCGACTGCAGGGAAAAAATGCCTATTGGCTCGAGAACTGGAGTTGATCACTGGACCAAATGCCAAACCTGTCATTCAAATGATTAAGTTGGACGAGTCGCTGATGAACGACACTTTGCCATCGCTTATATCGAAATTCAAGTAAATTCACTCCATTTGGATCTTCCAACTTGGATGAAGATTGTTTCTAATGTTTGACTTTTAAATTTTTCTCCCAGGCCACAGATCCAAATCCAACCAATTGATTCGGATGCAGTGCGGCGAGCTCTTGATACATGGCTACAAACTACGGAAAGCGACTCGAAACAACTGCTTAAAGTTGTCATTAATAATATCAGCTCGGTTCGAACTATTCACAATGTGAACAAAGCGGTTTCGGAATTGGGTAATTTTCAACAATTGAGATGGATTAGAATTGTTTATGATTTTATCAAAGATACATTTGTTAAAATATTCAAATTCATCCTTTCGTTCCTGTAGAAACACCAGCAAATTGGAAGCAAATCTTGCAAAGTTTGCATCTGAGCAGCAACATTGACTTTTATCACAAGTTCTATCAGCCATTAATGCAAGACCGCATTAAAACCATCATCACAACATCGTGGCAAACGGCCATCGAGCAAACTGAGAAGAATATTTCAGAAGTATTCGAATCAAATGTCCTGTCCATGAATGGTAATATTCTTTCTCTGCCTTCTTTCTTTGCATCTAGCTCTTGAGTTAAAAATGCTCTTTTTCCCCATGAAACACTTTTATTGAAAATTTCAATCTATTTTCAGATGAAAAACCATTTTGGGACGAGGAACCTGAGGATAGTCCAAAGAGTTTGAAGCAAGCATTGGATCAAAATCGCCAAAATCATCGTCTTCTAATGAAAATCAAAGGCTATTCGACGGAGCTGTGCACAATTTGCAATGAATTAGATAAAAGTGTTGAGTCGATTTACAATGATTTGAGTTTATACGTTAGTTCATCGTCTACGGAAAGAATTGAATTGAGAGACGATCCAAATGTTCGTAAGGAACAAACGCATCTGGTCGAGTTTTTGCGAAGTTGTAGTCAAAATGGAATTTCTGAGTAAGCAAAATTCACATTTTTCTTCTCTTTTTCCTTTTTCCGTATTTAATTCTAACCTAAAAATTCTCCTTTTTTATGAAATAAAATCAAATAAAATGAATATTTCGTTCAACACATTTCAGTTTGATATCAAAGGCTAAATCATTGGGAGCTGCAAACAATGATCGAGCCCATTCGATAGCATTTCTAGCTAAATTGCTGAAGGCTGTGACGGAGATTTGTCCGAATGTGAAGCAATGTTTAATGCCAACATCTTTGCTCCTATCGAACACATGGAATGAATCCTCAAACGTGTCACATATTGAACACTGGGAACGGATATGCCGCTTGTTAAACGAAGAATCGGTGAATCTTTGGAAGCAATGGATTGACTTATTTATTGGTGAACTTTTGCGGAATCAGAATGGTCTGTGCTTTAGCATTAAAATCGATTTAATGACATTGCTCAATGTGTTTCTAAACTGGGAAACTTATGTAATCGAAGAGAAAGACGAAACAAATGCATCGATTCAGTCAACCATTCGTGTTCCGGCCCATCCAAGTATTCCACTACAAAAGTGTCTCTTCGACTCGTGTACCAAATTGAATGAGAAAATAGCCGAAACATTACCGAAATCCGTAACTACACTGTTGACCGACCGTTTATTGGATCGGATTGTAAACACTTACACGGAGCTCAGCGATAAGAATGAGTTTATTTTCACCAATCAAAATGCGTGCTTGCAACTCTATTTCGATTTAAAGTTTTTGACACTTTTATTTTTGAATGGAAAACGAAATGATCAACTTCAAGCGCTGGCCAATAAATTCAAAGCCGGCATCGATCCATTTGACTTTGAACTACTTCACAAGTATATAAATGTCAATGTAAAGTTGGCCGCACAGCGTAAGCAACATCAATACGGTTTGCTCATATCCAGCACAACAGCAAATCAATCGCTATTGGCTGCAATGTCCAAAACTGGTGCCACAAATTTAGCCCAAGAAAAAGATCCAAACTTATTGCCGCTGGCAAACAATGGTGTTGCACACAGCAATTGGTTCACATTGCTACCAATTGTCGTTTCAACAAAGACAGCCGTTGCGTTGAGTGAACCGGTTGAAAACAAAGTGCCGGTTGTCTTAGCAAAATCCGATAAGGTAAACAAATTGCACATCATCAACAATAAACACATTCATCGAACTCATATATTAACGAAATTTATTGAATTCTTTGATTTGTTTAACAATCTCTTATGTGTGGCTTAACCGTTTTTGTTTATTTCGATTGTTGTTTTTCTTGACATGATAATATTTGGTTAACGCTTATAAATAACTTTGATATTTTTGCCATTTCATATTTTTACAGAGAAAATCGCCATCGAAAACTAGCGGAACGTCGTCGTCGTCCACACAATCGATTACGCAGCAAAATTTAGCCAATGTCAAATCGAATGCAGCTGCGTTCTTTGGCGCTATGTCACAGGACTGGTTCCGATAGGTTTTCAACTAACATTATTCTCGGCGAAGATTCACAGCCACTGCTTTGTTATGTCTCTTTGTGTTTAACATAAAAAAAAAATACATAAATATATTTGAACGAAAAACAGTGTGTATGAATGTGCGATTGGAAAATGACAAAATTAACGAGCTTAACCTAACATTTTTTTTTGCAATTAACTAATGTAAGTATATGCGATTTCACCGTTGTATACGTTGAATACGCGATGAATAATACTGAATTTTCGAGGTCATGCGATTAGGCAATTTTATAGAATTTCACCAAAACCCTTGTCGTCAGTTGTTCTGGCGATGAGTGGTCTTTGAACGATACCCATTTGAAATAAATTATCTGACTGTATTTCGGGTGGCATTATTGCTTTCGGCTGTGGCGTCATCATTAACGACAATCGCTTTCCTTTGTCAGCTCGGACATTGCGCACCACCGATGGACATTTTTCAGCACTGTTTGGCATCGTTTCATTCAATTTGTACTGTATCTCTTTTCTGGTGACAATATTTTTGGAGCCCGATGGTGTGAGAATCACCTCAATGCATGAACCTTGAGCGGTGAATGAACTCGATGTTGATGGTGTATTGGGAGCTCGAGTTTTCCGACGGCCTGGTGTATTGAATCCGTCATAGTCATTTTCATCATAATCTGGCATCGGTTCATCAGATGTTCGCTTCTTTTTCGTTGATTTTGGCTGTTTGGCCAAATTTGCTGTCGGACAAAAGTGACGTGTAGAGTAAATATGGGTTAGAGAATTGTATGGATTGAAAAATATTGTGATTTTCATGAATTATTGGGGATGTCAAAAGGCGTCAATTTCTAATACACAAAATATAACGCATGTTTTTACCTTTCTTTGGCGTACCAATATCGCCTTGTTCACCTGCATTCTGCTGTACGATGGTAGTTATTTCTTCTTTCGTGGTTGTGATCGTAGTTGTGGTTAAGATGGTCGTTTTTCTAAGAAATTGAACGTTCCCCTTTTTGAACACCTCACATGCCGTTGCTTCATCCACTGCCGAAACCGCATTGGAAGATGGTTCATCACCACCCACGCGCGACATCGTTGGCTTCACTAACTCCATACTATTTGCATTGGTATTCATGCTTGAATTGGTCGAATTATTCATACTTTTTATTGCGTTTGACAGTGCCATTGGCGAGTCAATTGCCATTGTGACCATATTACCCGTTGTGGCCTCTGCCGTTTTTTCGGTGGTATATTTTGAATGACGATGGCTTTCGATCCTGCCCTTTGTCTTGATATCATTTCTGGTGTGCTCTTCGTATGTCTTTTCCATAATCTTGATCTTGTTTTGTGCCAGCTAATAAAACAAAAATAGACCATAATGAATGTCAGTCTAAATTGCATTTAACCAGTGTGAAGTATACCTCTTTATACGTCTTTACAAAAGTAGAAATGGCGTCATCATCGTCGCTAACTTCGATGCAGCTATTCGCATCTGATACATTACCTTCGTCTGGTACATTATTCGATTCGGACAGACGGTCATCATCTTCAAAATCATTAACTTCGACTTCATCTCCTGAATTACTCTCACCGGACGTTAACTCACTTTCCGAATATTCTGACAATGCTTCATCCTCAATGACTTTGTCCATACCCTTATATTTCTATAATTGAATTTTCAACGAATTAGAAACTACAACTATTTGAGCGTTTAGCTTGACTTACATCAAAGAATTTGTCCCATTTCTCTTCACGTTGTACAACCAAGTCCTGTTTGACTTGTTGCCAATCGACTTCTTTGTCTTGTCTGTAAAAATGTTGAAAATGTGATTTAATTTTGAAAACATGACCAAATTTATTATAAATTTTCTATTTTTTCAAGTCGCTCCAATGATGTTTTGTTTGTAAATTTATGCACTTTACTCACCCTTTACTCATTTTCAACGAAATGTCTTTCTGAACGCAGTAACTTTAATACATTGCAGTCAGTTCTAACCGAATAGCGCTTGTTGTTCTGTCATTCGAATTGAAAAAAATATTCGCATAATCTCTTCTGTGCATTATAGTGCCCTCTGTGTTTCTGTCCAATGCAAACCAAAAGAATATGAAGTCCCTATTGAAGAAAAACGAGTGTTAACAGTTGACTTTGCAAACAAATTATAAGAAATTGCACTATTTTTGGAAACACGCGATTATTTTCAATATTTGAAGTAATGATTTATTGATGAAATTGAATTTTTTTTACCTATATTCATGAGAAATATGAATATTTTTGCAGTTAATTTACTTCATTTGCCACAACTCACAATTTTTTTCTTCATTCTTTCATTGCTTTACTCAACAGTGATGTCGATTTCTGCAGAAATTCATAAAGATTGATGTGTGAATCATAAATGCCCGTTTTTCTAATGAATATTCACAAACTGTTCTGTTGAATGTTTGTTTTTTTCTACATCAAAATGCTCAGTGCGACGAAAACAAGTCTAAAAAATCTCGCTAAAAAAACATTACAGTTCGAAGTAGTAAAGCGTATACGTTGATAACAATAACAAGGACAACACATATACTTTGGTTTGTGTTGTTCGACTTTTTGTTCAATCGCTGGCAGAATAAAGAATTTATTCGATCTGAATGATTTGTGTGCTAGTGGTTTGTTCTCTCTGGATAATGTTGTCAATACATGTAAAACAGACTGCGGCTTGTGATAACCTCAAACATTCAATTTGTGACCTCTCCTCAGAAATAATTATAGGACGCACAGCGAACACAAGATAACATTCACAACAGATTTATGCAATACGAATATGGCTTGAGAAATATCTTCAATGAAACAAACAGTTGGAAATTATACGATCGTCATCAACTGAACAATTTTAAATCATTTCATCAACTTTTCTTATATGCCTTTTTTGCTTCAGCTTACGATTAAGAAATATAATTGACTTTTTTTCGTATAGATTAAATCGAGAGAAAAAATGCTTGGAAAAAAATGCTAGACGAGATTTCTTGAATGTTTCCTTAGAAGATCTGAATGTTCCGACGATTCACAGTTTGGATGGAAATTGGATTTGTAACTTTAAACATACATTTATAGGAAAAAAATACACAAAATAGCTCGATTTTGAAAATTACGCAGTTATTATTTTGAGAATAGATAGCTATCTTTTCGTTATAGATTAATAGTGTCTATAGACACTATAGTGTCTTTCCATTGATATTAGTACAATTGAGTACGAGTCAGAATGCATATAGAAATTTATGATCATCGGTTTTCCATTAATAGAAAACAATTTACTTCAAAATTTCCATATCATGCAGTATTCTTGTGACAAGCGCTTCATGTGATGTGATACCATGTCATAATCCATGTGTAAATAAAAGACATAATTATGTCAGTAATTAGCGAATATTTGATGCGATTGCAAATTGCGTGAATGTTTTTTCCCGGCGGCGGCGTTACAGATGTCAGTAATCAGCATCCTTTGATTTGTTATCTTTATATGCATGTTTTCAATATGCCACTATATTTCTAAATTTGCACAATTCAATTTTTATTGAGGATTTCATGAATCGCACAAATGTGCAACGCTGATCGTCTACATTTGATATGGGCCACTCAGATCAGTATCATAACATGATGATTCAGTCGTTGATTTTTTTCTTCTTGAATCAGAGTGAAAAAAATTCTTGTGTGTGTAATAGGAGAAGAATCGTTTTGCATCTACTGTGTAGATTCTACGCACAGAATTGGTTGGACTGAACAAATTTTTTTTATGAAATTCACTTTAACTGTTTTGTCGATCATTTCTCCCGAATTGCGATTACGCATCGAAGCGGATACGGTAAAATTTGAATATGTTTGCATTTCTACAATATCATTTGTCTTGATGTCCATTTGTCAAACTGGAAACTAAACGAAACGAAGCTATTATTGATGAATAACCGAAAACAAACCATTTAAACCCGGTCCCTCGAACACTTTCAATACGCATGGCTCGAACATTTCATTTTGAATGCAACAACAATGCATTTATTTACACGTTTATCCAATACAATAGAGACAAATTTCTCGTAGATCACCTTCAAACATTAGGCAATGCATTCTTGCCACATCAGAGACCAAGAAACGAGTGTCGAAGAAGAAAGAAAAAAGCCTGCAGGAAAAATGGTTACGTGTTATTATCTTAATTCATTTCATAAGCAATGATCATTAATCTTGTACTAATCAAATAAACAAACAACGAGATGCATACACTTTCTATTGGTGAAAAAGATCGAATTGTTGCATCAGAGTCAATGAAGAGCGTTATTTCAATGGCAAAACGGCGTAGAAAGCGCAGATTTCAAACATTTTCGAACATTCAGTAAGAACGATGAATTGCGCGTGGAAAGAATAATTGTGCATCGTCCCCTTACTTTACAAAAATGAGGGCTGAAATTGGAATTGTTTGAATCAAACTGGAAATACTTAAAAATAGAATCATTTTTTAAGCTAGTTATTAGTTTGTTTTTGACGAAGAATAAAAAACTCATCTGATGTCATGTGCGAAATGGGTTCAAGGAGTGTGTGTCTATCAAATAAATGGGTCGGTCGAATGATTAATAAAAAATGACATAAGAATTAAAGAGAAAAAAAGTTGGCCCACAAGAATGGTCAAAATAAAACCGAAAAGAAGTGGAGAAAAAAATTGAAAAACTATCTCGAAGACCATTTCTCTTCCATTATTGACCTTTTTCATGCACCTCATCAATAATCATCTCGGTGTGTGTCGTGTTCGATTTTTTTATTTCAATCCTCTCCACTACGGGCGTAAAAATAGAAAAAGAACCATTTGCCTCGTATTTTTAGCTGGACCAGGTCTATCGAGTATATGCGATCATCAAACACCGATTCATCATAAAGTGACTGTGGAGAAATTTATGAACATTCATATCGAAATTCTACTGAACGGGAGTGTGTGCGCAATGCGACTGCTTTTTTTTATGAATGTCGATAAAGACACTTGCTTCTTTTTCTAGTGTGAACGTGTAAATAGCTCATCTAAATCGATAAAGTTTGAGCATTTTTTTTTCCACTACTCTCTAGTGAGTTTGTCCTGATTCTCATCCTCACTTCTTATTTGCTCCGGTACAATTTGGTGTGACTCATGCGCCAAATGAATATACCACACTTTAATAGTCGAGGAGGATAAAAGACGTCAATTGCCATTTTGACTTTTTTATCGGCCCATACTGACTTTTTATGAACGGTCAAACATCACACTTTGATTATATGTTCGGACACAATAGTTTGCCATCAAAATTGTTATGATTAATGTTTGTGCCAAAAAAAATACGTCATGTGATTAATATCTTTGCACATTGTTTTATCGGGGAACACACGTTTTGTCTCAGTGGGAAAATAAAATCGAAGGATATTCAGCTTTGCTTCCTTCAGTGAAACGTGTTTTTCTTTGACTGCTGATAAAAGTAACCATATTTTCATCATACGATGAGTTAATCGCTTTTTACTGGGTATCATTGTGTTTTTCTTCTTCGGAAAATCGGGTTTTGTTGGAAATTCATGAAAAAAATAGAAATCAAAGTCAATGAATAATCCAATTGGTTCCAAAATTAAATATGAATATTTTATGCTCAAATTCTCAGGCCTGAGATTTCTTCTCAAGACTCACAAAATTCCAAACCGATTTAATCGATAATTTGACGCCTTTAAATGGCCATTAAATCTTTACTCAAACAAAAATCGAACCCATCACATGAAAAATACATCATTTATCACAGCAAACATACTGACAAATTCAAATCTATTTTCAGATCTAGCTTGAACCGAATGAAAGGAAAATGTCTGGTGGACATCTATTCGAAGGGTTCGTTGTGTTTTGTTCTTTGAAACATAATCGTTCGATGGAGAAATTGCATGAAACAACAAAGAAGTGAAAGCATTTTCAATGGTTATTCTTTGAATAAAATCGAGACAATTGCTTTCAGTCGACGATAAATGATGAACGCTTCTCCTTTGGCGGAATCGGAGTCATGGCATAACAAAACGATGCATTATCATTGGTGGAATTGGTCAATGTGAACACGATTCGATTAATCAAAATCGACATGGACAATTAATTAATTAAAATTGGTGTCTGTGAAATATATTCGCATTTGTGTACGAAATGTTACACATTGTCGACAAACAGGAAAACAGACAGTCAAATATTGTATTTTGTAACCGAATTTGAATTTCGTCTATGCTACAATTGTTAATCGTTATCCTAATGATAGTTTTTCCCGAGACAAATGGCAAAATGACCCAAATTATCTAATTGTATCTGCCGTCCAAAGCTGACAAATGATGTTTTCGCTCGCCAATCCGATGAATTCGCTTTTGTTTGCAATTATTATTATTCGAATAGTTCTGCCCCGGTCGGAAAATTTAGGATTTGCATAGATGAGGAAGCTGCTTTTTGTCAATGGCCACATAATTTCGGATGTGTTTTTGTTTTATCCAGCAGTTTAACTAAACTACTGACGACAATATTTATATTTATTGCCATGTGCAACGTGACCTCACCTCGAATAAATAACTGAATATTGGTTAGACATACGCTTTGTACCGTTATACCGAATTTCTACATGGAAATTGGCTATCGGAAACGTGTTTTACCTATCATTTGTAGCTGATTGTCACATGGAATTCAATGCACTGATTTATGCAGTTGACACCCGTTGAAACTTGGGCAATGCGACAGCAGTCAAGGGAATGCATTCGTGGGATACAATAAAAATGATTTATGTGTTGCGAATTCAATAAGAAAATTGCATTGGGCTAAGATATGAATTCCATCGATTTTACCGGGCAAATTTTTCATCAATTTTATTTTACTCGGTCGAATGACATGATCGAAGAAATTGGAGCTGATTTGCATAGGTCGTCGAATGTTTGCATATTTAGTGGTTGACCTTTAACTCCACTGCAAAAGCCGTCCCATTTATTCTCCAAACCAAATTGATTGTGCGTTTTCGCTAGTCGTCACACATAAATTTCGATTATTTCCACAGTATAATTATTTTGTCAA